TAAATTGTAAAATAATAACTTCTAATTATCTTACATATAATATTGATCCAGTACTCAAAAATTAAAATGAAATAAAATCTAAAAAATTCTCCCATTCAAATGCTTAACATTCTTGCCAAAACATATTTAAACAAATTTTCAAAGTTTTCTTTTTGTAATTTGTGAAAGGTTTATTATTTAATAACATTTGCAATAACGTAATAGATATTAACTCTAACAATTTGTTAACTCCTAGTTATTTGTTCAAAACATTCAAGTCCAAATGATTTAATAGTATTTTTGAAAAATTTTAGGGAAAATTACTAAGAGGTCAGCATGGTTAAATTATTGGCATAGAAGGTTTAAAATAAAAAATATTGTCTTAGAAGGTAATTTAATTTTCCAAAACACTCTTCTACTCACAAGTATTAATTTGTAATTTGAAAGCATGCATCTATATTTTTACAAGAATATATCTATAATTTTACAAATATGCATATATATTTTTACAATAATATAACTGTAATTTTTTAAGTATCTATTTATAATTTTACAAGCATGTATTTGTATTTTTACAAGAACACATTTATAGTTTTGCAAGTACTCATCTATATTTTTATGAGCATTTATCTATTAATAATTTTATAAATATTCATCTGTATTTTTACAAGTATTCATCTATTTGTAATTTTACAAGTACCCATCTATACTTTTACAAATATGTATATGTATTTTTACAAGCTCACATTTGTACTTTTACAAACATGCATCGTCTGTTTATAAGTGTGCTTATAAAGTTATATATAAGTACTTGTAAAATTATAAATGTATTATTGTAAAAATATAGATGCATGCTTATAAAATTATAGATGAGTACTTATAAGAGTAATGATACACAGTGAAATCAAATTATTTTTTGAATCAATATTTTTTTTTAACCTTCTAGATCAATATTCTTTATTTTAAACTTCTAGGTCAAAATTTTTGATATTGAACCCTGAGTCAATATTTTAACCAAACCAACCCGTTGGTAATTTTTCCATCGTAAAACTTATTGAGTGCATCACTTTTACATGTCATTAGGACTGTTGGATATTATAGCATGAAAAAGAACATAAGGGATATCACTTGAAAGAAAAAATAGGGGAAAAAAAAAAGAAGGAAGAGAATGAATGCTTTCCTTCCTTTATTTGGTATCATCTAATGGAAAAGAAATGATATTTTTTTTCTTTATTCGGTTTTATCTAAGGAAAAGAATGAAAATCTATATAAATAAATGTCAAAATGATTTAGTTGAATGAAATTAATATTCTAAGGTTTCTAAAAAGGGTTTAAATAAAAAATTTAAAATTCAAAAACTGATGTCAAAATTTGGAAACAATAAGATCATATTGGAAAGGGGAAAAATATTAAAGAACCAACTTGCAAACCAAGCAGATTCTTGCCCAAAACACTCTACAATCTCTACAATTGTCGATGACTTATTTGTTCTCAACTTCATGATTTGTTTCATAATTTTTATACGATTCTTGCACTTCCTCCTTGTACAAATTTGTTACCAGTTGATGCTACGATAGTCAGTTGAGAAACTTTTGCTTGAAGAGGACCAAAAGGGGAAACAAGTAGCCTTGTTTTTTTGTAATGTATTGCAAACACCGATGTCCAGTTGGTGCGAGCTTCTAGCCAAAATGCTAATGCACATAGCTGACACAAAACATCAATGTAGAAGTATAACTAGGAGAGAGTAGATGGATTGAGCGGGGTGAGGGTGCAAGATCCTTGTCAAAATGCTGACAAACAAAGCTGACACAGATGCCAGCACAGAAACTGTCATGACTCAAAAATTGGATCCATGACTGGTACTACGATTAAAATAAATTCTAACCTTGCAAGCCTAATAGATAACTTATAATTAACTAAATCAAAATTTTATATAAAATTAGACATAAAATTGAATTCAAATCTTAACTAAACTATCAATAAATTAATAAAAAACTTGTTTGTAATCAAATAGAGCTAACTAAAGAACCTAAGAATGCAAAATCTAACTCAAAACTGAAATAACTAATTTCTTTGATAAAGAACAAAAATAGTAGAAAATAACAGACTATCTTCAAGTAATAGGATCAAATGGAATATCGAATTCTGAATTTGAAAAATAATAAGGGGTGAGTTGACGATCCAGTGAATAATGACATGTATTTATAAGAATAAGGGATAAGTATAACAAATATAATAAAAAACTTTACAGGAAACAAAATTTAACAAACATTCAGAATTTAGAGAGTTCGTGATCTAGAATATAATAGAAATTAGAAATCAGTAATCAAAACGACAACCATATAGTCTGTCAAAAATCAAGACGATGACATCTTAATCTATTGGCATACAGATATACAGGTCTCTCATGTCAACCCAACATAAGAGGCTAGCATCACCCTTACTAGCCAAGGTATAGTTCAGAGTGTACTTAGTGTAACGCTTATTACTGCTAGCTACAATATTCTAATAATTTGAAGCTCCCTTAAAATAGTTTTCCAAAAATAAATATAAAAGGTTTAACAAAATTTTTTATTTACAAGTATTAACAGAATCAAACGTAAATAACATATAGTTTTTCATAAATAATTTCAAAAATTACATACATTTCCTTTGTTATACTTATATAACAAAATTTAATTCAATTTCAGAAATTAAGTATATCATGTAAAAATCAGAATATATAATAGATATGAAAAACAGTAAATGTTCATAAATACATATTATTACTCACAAAACCTATGTGAGTCAATCAATCCGATCTTTGATGACAGAGGTTCAATGAGAACAAAAAAAAATCTAAAACAATAGAAATATCTATTTTAAGTTTTTAATACATTTAAAAATCAAATTAATATAAAATTCCAATTAAAAACCCAAGTATTATTCTAGATTTTCGTGCCTAAAACCCATATCGGGGCTACTAAGTCCTGAATTGATCAATTTAGTCATGAACTCAATCCCAAAGTCTTGAATTAGACTTATAAAGCGTGAAACTAATTTATTTAATCTATAAACTAATTATTAAAATATTAAACCGGCCTTGAACTGACCACTTGGGTGCTGAACCAGTTGTGAACTTGCCATTAGATCACTAAACTGGCACTAAAGTAGCATGTGTAGTACTGAACTAGCCTATAATACACCGAATTTCCCTTAAATCGGCCTTTAATGTACTGAACCAGCCACTTAATACACTGAACTGGCTAATAAATTACTTGAACCAGTCATTTTAAGTACAAAATTAGACTTTTAAGTACTGAACCGGTCCTTAAAAGCCTTGAACTAGTCGATTTTAGCCTTAATTTGGTTAATCATGCCATGAACTAGTGTTGAACTGGTGCCACCCCCTGAATTGATTGAATTTCAGATTTTTGCTTTATTATTTTGTTTTATTTTATTTCTTGATTTGGATCATGAGTTCAGATCTAATTTATACCCAAAACACATTAATCTAGCCCAGTTCTCAGTCCAGCCCACCCCTAAACCTAGAACCTCTTTAACCCAAGCCCAATAGTTGGCCCACCCAGTTCCTAGCTTAACCTTTTCTTTGGCCCAAACTCAAAAACTTGAAATCTGGATTCGGTCCAAGGTGCCAAACCGAGGGGTGTTCAAATGTTCGGTTCGATTAGATTTTGGGCATTTTCTAAACCGAACCGAACCGAACATATTGGTCCTAGAACTCTAAAGACATGATCGGTTTTGTGTTTATAAAAAAGCCAAACCAAACTGAACAGACCAAAAGTCGGTTCGGTTCGGTTGACATGATGGTCTAAAATACCCTCACCTGCAACCTCCTCTCACTTGTAAGCATTTCCTAGCCGTTCTCACTATTTGCGAGGGAATACCTGCTACAGCTAAGTCACCCCCCGGCTCTCTCTCTCTCTAATTTAGAAGCCTCCCACCCACCCCCTGCAACTGGAACTCCCAACTAGAATAACTCCTCAACCGGAACAGCCCCCCACCCCTGGCCTGTGACTAGATTCCCCCGAGCCTACAACCCTCATTCTCTTAAGGCCTGAAACTTGTGCAAGGAGATAATAAGAGGAATAAGGGTTTGCTGGGCGAACCTGTGCGAGGAGAAGAGCAGATCTATCGCTCGCCATTGTTGGATGTTGCTCGTGAAGGTAGTGTCCACTGTGGCACTAGCTCTATTGGGCAAACCTGTGCGAAGAGAAGAGTGGATCCATTGCCATTGTCGAACGTTGCTCGTGAAGGGGTGTCTGCTACAGCGCTAGCTCTACTGCACGAAGGGAAGGGGAGAGGGAGCGTCTGTGTTAGAGAAAGAGAGAGCCGAAAGAGTTAGATTTTTTTTCTATTTAATATTTATATATATGATATTTTACATAAATCAACCGGACCGGCTCAGTTTGGTTCGATTTTCCTGGGGGCTAAAACCGAAAACCGAACCGAATTGATTGGTTTAAAGGCTTTCAAAACCAAATCAAACGGATTCTTTTTGGTTTTATTTAGTTTTTGATCGGTTTGGTTCGGATTGAGTCAGTCCAATCGGTTCGGTTTAATTTTGAACACCCCTAACCAAACCCAGTGCAAAACTGAGTATCATCTCGAGTTTCGCCTTCTTGGCTCAAACTCCTTGAACGAGAAAAGAACCCTTATTTAGTCTCTTCCAATTGAGTCATTTTTAAATTTCTAAATTCTAAATTTACCCCAAAATGTGGGTATTACTGAAGCAAAACCAGGAGACAGCAAATTCTCCCAATGAGTGTCACTGTCGATTCTCTTCACCATCCTCGATCTGTCTTCAATGGTGGATGTAGTCAGTGCAATAGGCGGACGGGGGTGGTCAGTGCAGGCGAGCCATGTTCTACATTTTTTTCCCTCCCAATCTGTTACTTGGGAGATGGACGTAAAAAACGTGGGCCCACACATAATCAGTCAGTCTAACCCCCGGGCTGCAATTGTTATACCAAAAATAGGATTTCCTTTTCTTTTTCTTTTCCTTTTACACTCAAAAATAGGATGGATATTGATAAAAATGCAAAATGCAACAGCCACGGGTTCAATGAAGTGGTAGGTGACAAGCTGAGAAAGTATTTTCGGGAGGGTCCTGAACAAATATACATATATTATAAGAACTAATAAAAGTTAAAAATATCCTTAGAGAGAGAGAGAGAGAGAGAGAGAGAGATGGAAGGGGGCAAGGGGACAGTATGCGTTACTGGTGGAACAGGGTACGTTGCTTCATGGATGATCAAGAAGCTCCTTGAGGAGGGTTACAGTGTCCGAACTACAAGCCGATCTTACCCTGGTGAGTTTGCTTTACCATCTGACAGCAGAATCATCTATCAGGTCATACTTCTGTAAGTGAAAATATCAGGGGTTTTAGAATTTGTTGTATTGAGCCAGACCCTTTTCTCTGATCAACATTATTCTTCAATTCCCGAAATATGTTTTGACAAAAATAGGTAAGATTTAAACTTTGCCCCTTTGGATTGGATATTCTGTTCTACGTTTTCCGTTAGTTCTTGTTTTTGTTTTCCTAATGTCAGAAATCGCTGAAAACAATTTTTTTTTATCACTTTCAAAAACTGACCGTGTCTTTTGAAAACTCTCCCCAAAACAGTTTTGAAAACAACCCACAAAATGGGTTTTTTGTTTTTTGAAAACAAATGCAAACCATTTTCATTTCATTATCGGCAATCGGCAATAGTCATATTTTTCTGCGATTAGAATTAATAGTTACACATCCGATTATTTTAAAGCATCTAATTGTGCATACGGTTATCCTGTCTTAGACCCCACGAAAGATCTAAGCTACCTCACGAGCCTCCCCGGCGCCTCTGAAAGGCTCCAAATTTTCGACGCGGATCTTGCCCGGCCGGAGAGTTTCAGATCAGCCGTGGAAGGGTGCATAGGAGTCTTCCATGTGGCCCACCCCATAGACTTCGAGGATAAAGAGCCAGAAGAGGTGAAGAGCGAAAGAGCCATCAGTGGGACGCTCGGCCTCCTCAGGGCATGCCTTGATTCAGAAACAGTAAGAAGAGTTGTTTACACTTCAAGTGCCTCAACTGTGATGCACAATCCGACGGCTAAAGATGAAGATGAGCTTGACGAGGGGGATTGGAGCGAGGTTGATTATGTTAGATCCTCGAAGGTTTTTGGAGGTTCGTACAGGATATCAAAAACACTGACTGAGAAGGCAGCTCTGGAGTTTGCTGAGAAGAATGGCCTTGACCTTGTCTCTGTCATTCCAACTTTCATCAACGGACCCTTTGTCTGCCCTAGGCTGCCCGGTTCAGTAAGGACTTCAATGGCTATGATCTTTGGTATGTCTGATTTCTGATTCTGGTTTTTGTTTTCGGTTTTCGTTTTATGTGTTTTCTAAAATAAAAAACCCTTAAAAAGTGGATCGGATGTTATTCTGTTTTCTGTTTTGAATTCTCATTTTGTGGGTTCCAAAATATAAATGGTACGTTTGATAAAAAAAAAGTATATTTAAGATACGTGGGTTAAAAAAGTAAATTTTAAAAAACAAATTTGCATAAAGTGAATAATTTTTATTATTATTATTTTTTGGTAACAATAAATTCCATTATTTGATTGTACGTAATTGTAATTATAAAAATAGGTTTAAAAAATAAATATATGTCTTTAAAATTTTAATTTAAGTGAAAATAGTTTGTGATAATTATGGAAATAACTTTTTTGTAATTTTGTGAAAGCAGACTTTTTTCTTTTGAAAATTTTTCTAAAAATAGTTTTCAAAATTGAATGGCCTTTTTTTTTTTCTGTTTTCAAAAACAAACCCAAAAAGGTTTTTCATTGGATAAAAATAATTTTTAAAAATTCTAAAAACATTTATTTTTTCATGTCTGAGGAGGTCATGTTTTTCTGGAAGTTATTATAGGAAAACAAATCATCACACGGATTTTCAGTTCGTCAATCTTTTTCTGTTTTCGAAAACAATTACAAACAGAAGGAGTCTCTGCAATTAAACTCTAAGCTATCACGTTTTATTTTTGAAAATCAATTTATTTAAATTCTTTATCTAGCAACATATTGCTCCATTCTGAGCAGGCAATGAAGATGAATACCAGCAATTGTTTAAAATAAACATGGTGCACGTTGATGACGTGGCAGCCGCCCACATCTTCCTCCTCCATTACCCTGAAGCAAAAGGGCGATATATTTGTTCTTCAGTTGGACTAACCTTCAAGAAAATGTCTGAATTTCTCTCAGCCAGATACCCACAATACTCTGTACCAACTCCTGAGTGAGTTTTTTCTGGAGCTCTTTACGATGACTGACCTTTTTAATGAAATTAACTCTTTAGCATTTTTTTTTAATTATCGAGCACGACGGCTCGATAATTTGAATGATATTTAAAATTAAAATATAAAATATTTTTATTTAAAGTTAAAAAAATCATATGATTGGGAATATATTATATTTTTAAAATATTTCTATTATTATACAGATATATACTTATAATTTTACGAATATATACTTATAGTTATACTGATATATATTTGTATAGTTATAAATATGAGAAGAGATCAATTGACACCAGGTGTAAGTGTAAAAGACTTATACCACATCTTACACTTTGATTTGGTCAAAATCAACGATATAAATTAATTATAACTATCTTCCACTAACTTTTAGCAATTAACTTGTATTTGAATTAGCTGTAATTAATCTACACTATTGATTTTGATCAAATCAACAGTGTAAGATGCGTTGTAAGTTTTTACATTTACACCTGGTGTCAATTAATTTCTTCTCTACAAATATATATTTGTATAGTTTGAGACTTGTAATTATACAAATATATACTTGTAACAAATATAAATATGTATTAATATAGTAATAGAGATATTTTAAAAATGTAAAATATCCTTAAGTAAATAATTTTTTTCTCCGGACCCAAATGAAAATATATTACATTTTTATTTGAATGTCATTAAAATTATCAAATAATCTAAATTGGTAATTTTCTCTTTTTTTAAATGTCAATTTTATAATTAATTTAAAAATAATTTTGAAAAAAACCAACCTTTTTGGATTGAACTAAATAATTCAAGAAAAAAAAAATCTGCTTTTCAAGGGATAAAAATACTTGTGCCTTGTGGACCAAACCAAACAAGCCTTTTAATCATCAACTCCCTCTCCATGGTTTCAGCAGCTCCTTGAAAGGAAGGGAGAAGTTGTCGTATCCCAGCGTCTCCTCGAAGAAGCTCCTGGACACAGGGTTCCAGTACAAGTACGGCCTTGACGAAATCTATGATCAGGCAGTTGAATGCTGCAAAGAAAAGGGTTTCCTTTAGAACTTGTGTTTTTCTGGCATAGGTTTCGAGCGTTTCTGTGAGCTCATCGTACTAAGAACTCTTTCTTTTTACTGTTGTGTGTTGTCTGTTTGGTTGTTTCGTTTGTGGAGACTCCTATTTTAGTAGTATTTTAACTAAAAAGCTGAAAATTTTTAATTAATTTGAGTTGAGTTTGAATTAAGTTGGAGCAAACAATGCCTATCAAAATCTAACCCCCCCCCCAAAAAAAAAAAAAAAAAAACTCTAGTCTAGTTAGTGGTACGTATAATTAATTATTCAAGGCATATAAAAATCAATAAATAAGAATCTAATTATTAAATTAAAATTACTAAAGAAAACAGCACGATCTTTGAACTCAATTAATTATTACCAAAAAATAAAATAAAATTTTATTTAAAAAAACAAAAAATAATTTTTTTGATGACGCTTTAAATAAATTAATTGAAAAAAAAAATAAAAGTCACATATTCATAATTTAATAAAAAAAATCAGTCACAAAAATCCTTTGTAAAAGAAAGGATCTAAAACCAAAGATGAGATAAATATCTGGTAGGTGATAATTAAACAAAAGAAAGTACTTTTGAGTGGGATTAGAAGTTAGCCTCCACCCAACAAGGTACCAAAAGTATGAATGGTTGAATACCAACAATTCATGTAACTGCATAAATACATAAGCTACCAGAGAGGGAGAGATGGCAGGGGAAGGGAAGAGCATGGGGAGTGTGTGTGTGTTACTGGTGGAACTGCCTACCCTGCCTCCTGGCTGATCTAGAAGCTTCATGAGCAGGGTTACAGAGTTCATACCACAGAAAGATCTTACCCAGGTATTCAACAAAGTGTAGAAGTGCCTTTTAGAACTTTTTTTCATGCAATTTTTTCATTAACTAGCGGGAAATTGTCAATTGATTTTGATTTTCTTCTGGGAGATCAAGGTTTTTGAAGTTCAAAAGAAAAGAGGAGGATGATAAAGATAATCACAAAACAGGATCAACTACTATTGAAATTTCTGAACATATGTTATTAATTTATATGATTGTTTACATCGCATTATGTTTTGACTTCAAAATTCACGAAACTTCCACAATTTTTTCCCCAATAATGCCCTACCCAGACACCAGCAGAGACCTAAGCTACCTCACTAGCCTCCCAGGAGCCTCAGAGAGGCTTCAAAATTTTGCCGCGGATCTGGACCGGCCGGAGAGTTTCCGAGCAGCTATAGAAGGGTGCAGAGGATTCTTCCATGTTGCTTATCCCACAGATTTTCAAGACAAAGAGACAGAAGCAGTGACGACCAGAAGGGCCATCACTGGGACACTCGGGGTCCTAAGGGCATGCCTTGATTCAAAGACAGTGAAAAGGTTTGTTTACACTTCAAGCTCTTGCACTGTTGTGTACAACCAGAAGGGCATAGCTGTAGTAATGGATAAGACTGATTGGATTGACATAGATTATGTTAGAGCTAGAGAGTTTTTCAGAAGTCTTACGTGATTTCGATGATAATGACTGACAAGGCAGCTCCAGAGTTTGCTGAGAAGAATGGGCTGAACCTTGTCTCTGTGATTCCCACCTTCGTCAATGGCCCCTTTCCTGGCCCTAGGTTACCCCGTTCAGTGCTCACTTCAATGTCCATGATCTTTGGTAAGCATCGTTAATCTATTAAGCTCATCTCATAGCTTTCTGACTGAAACATTTTGGATGGATATATTACAGTCACATCCCTGTACTTCTTCTAATTGCCTAACGACTTCTACCCATAAAAGTTGGGGTATTTTCCCATCTGTATAAAATAAGAAAATTCAACTCTCCAATTTTCCCTCTTTCGACTATTGACTTCATTCTAGCAATTAACTCCTCCTGCCCCATTCCATGCAGGCAAGCGAGATCTCTATAAACATTTGGCTAAAATACAAATGGTGGATGTTGATGACGTGGTTCAGTTCTAATTCTATTCACACTTACATAGATACAATACAAGCCTGTTGAAGCACAAAATTGAAGGAAAATAAATTTCTTAGCACCTCTTTGATAATTCTATTAACCTCTTCGCTTGCACAAACAATCTGGAATTAAATATATAATAACTATTTGGAGATGTACTCTGCTCCATCCACCTAATATAGCTCACCTTGGGTTTTGTACTTCTCGTAAAGATGGGATGGGATAGTTCAGAGTAATTGGATGATGCAAGAGGAAGGTATATTTGCTCTTCAGTTGAATTAAACATGGAGAAAATGTCTGAATTCCTCTCCACCAGATTTCCGGAATACCATGTTTCAACACCTGAGTGGGTTCCAAAAGTTCTCCTCCTTTCGCCTTTTTATCCACTCACTCTTCCCTTTCTTTAATTGGGTCCCTCACCATTATCTGTTTTGTGTAGCTCTCCTTGAAAGAAATTGAAATACTCGCATGTGCCAGCGTCACCTCAAAAAAACTTATGGATACAGGGTTCAAGTTCAAGAATGGCCTCAAGGAATTATATGATGAGGCAATCCAATGCTACAAGGAAAAGGATTTTCTTTAGTTCGTGTTTTCTCTGTATGTTATTTTTCTTTATTTATACTGTCAGGCTTTAAAGTAAAAATTAAATTTAAAATTTATTAATTATTGTATTATGTTAGTTTTTTTCCTCATGCTTAAATGCTCCCTTTGGTGGATGCCTTTTTTCTTTCTTTTTTTTTTGAAAGGGTAAATTTGATGATAAGTCTTGACTTAGTGAGTTAACAGTATTAATAATTATTAAATCAGTATTAGATACTCATTCTAATCTAATGCATGTTATAATGTCTAACCCAGTGAGTCAGAGATTATTATCAAATAAATAGGAGAGAAGTAGACCTAATCACAATTCATGAATCGACTTGGATACCAAGAAACCAAATGGCCAGTGCCGATCTTAAAAAAATATGAATGGGGACTGAAACTTATAATTCAGTTCTGGTCCTTTACAATTCTAGTCTAGTTTATAGTTCTAATTTCAGTTCAAGCCGATTTACGATTTTGGGCTGGATTGGTTTATGGTTTTGGTTATGATTTTTCTTGATTCATCCGCAGTTCAATGCAGTTCTAGTTTGATTTTACCAGAAAAAATTAAATATTAACTTATAAATATTTTTTTATTATTAAATATTTTTCAAATATTATAAATATTTAATCTTATAAATTTTTTTAAATAATAATAATAACAACAATAACAATAACAATAAAAGATTTGAACTTAATTGTATATTAATTAAACTGTTTATGTATCTTTTTGCTTTTAGGGCCTAAATGAATCAAAATATATATAATTCTCTTTCCTTAATTAGTATAATTTTTGCTATCTTCAATTGTTGTTCTTTAATCATTTTCTTGATTTAACTCTATGATAAATTTTTATTATCAATAAATGATCATTTTCCAATAATCAAGATTTAATTGAGTTTCAACATTTGTTATAAGTATACTTAAGCAAGTTTTATATAATATTTGAGTTCCTGCACTAAAATTTTATTCAACCAAAACTGTTAATATATACATTGCTAAGATATTTTTTGGCATGCGCAAAAGGATTTGATGACAATTTTACTTAAAAAATAAAAAATAAAAAAGTGTGATGCAAAAGCTTCCATACGTCTCGCACAAAAAAAAAAAAAAAAACTGTGAAGAGAAATGGCTTAAAGCCAAGATACTTTAAAAGAGAAATGACAACTTAAAAAGTGTTGAAAGGAAAAATTGAATAAAACTAAAATAAACAGTGATTTGATAATTTAATTTTAAAAAAAGAAATGAAATATAAATTTTATAATTTTTGTTAATTAATATATTTAAAATAAATTTGTATCTAATAATAATTTTTTTTATATTTAAAAAATATATTATATAAATTTAAATTAAAAAAAAAAGTAAATTCCTTTTTTTTATATTTTAAAAAAATAAAATTTTACAATTTAATTCATAATTTACTCCCTATTCAGTTCATGGTTTATTTCTCATGTTTAATTCACGATTTGCGGTTTATTTCTCATATTTAATCTACAATTTTAATTCACCATTCAATTTTAACAATTTATTCATAATTTTAATTTGTAGTTTAAATTTAATTTAATGAACATAATTCTACCGAGTTCCAATTCATTGATTCTTTGACCATGCAGATTTAGATTTAAAAAATATACGAATCTTAAATGAGATGTATTGAAAATTGACAGTCCAATCCGATTCAATTTTTTAAAGGTCTCGTCCGGGCCAATTCGTGACCCGGACCAGATCCGTGAATCGGCCCAGAGAGAGATGAACTTGGGAAGGGGTCTTGAGGGCAGAAGCATAAAATATGTCCACTGAAGGGGCAATGCGAAATTTCCGCAGGAGTTACCGTTAGAGCGCTCGTCGCGTCCACGCGGATGCATAACGAACTCCATAGCTCTCTCCCTCTCCCGCTCTCCTTTTTCGAGGCAACCCTGCCTTCAAGGTACAGACGCAAGATTGAAACACTACTTTCGTTACCATTTTTCTCTTTGAGCTTCAAAGCTCTTGAAATTGCTTTCTTATCCCGCGGACGGACAAGAACCGGCGACCATCGTCATCATGTCGTTCTCCGATTCCGAGACGTCCTCTCATGGTGGAGAGTACAAGACCTTCCGCCAAGTCAGCCGCGACCGTAAGCCTCCTCTCTGTTTCATCGCTTCTCTAGTTAAGATTCATATCTAGGCATTCGATATTTGTGTGTTGGAACCTCTTGTTGTGATATTTGGTTTGCGTATTCGTATATCTGCATATAACGACAGAGAAAGGAGGCTCAATTTCCTCCACATTCAGGTAACGCGAATCTAAGCATTTGGATTGCATCGGATTAATGCAGAAATGTGGTATTAATACCTATAATTTTTCCTGGAATTGAGATATAAGTAATTATGTCGCCCTCTGTGTGTGTGCGCGCGCGCGCGTGTGTGTGCAAGCTTAGATGGTATGCAACAATTCAATATGCGATCAAAGCAAGCAAAGATATCTGATGTGGCACTATTGAAAATTTGGGACGCACTAGGGGGCGTGTTGAAAAGCTAATCATTAAATCACCCCTCTCTATGAGCTTAATCTCTTTTAGATGGAATGATAGTCAGAAATAAAACATCTAGGAAATTATTGGTTTATATTGTTTATATATTTATCTCTATCTATCTATACATACATACATACATACATGTGTGTGTGTGTATTTCCTTCTTTGGGGAACTTGGATAGTTGCAGGAAATGGAAAAGAAATTTTCAAGGGGCTTAATTGTATAAAGTTGTGTTTGATAACATTTACATCTGTTTTGTTTATGCTTATGACAGATAGAGTGGAAAAAGGGTGGGAATTGTTGCCTTTTTCTTCCCCCTAAACAGACGTAAACATGCATTTTATGTCTACCAAAAAAGAAATTGTAAAATTTTGCAACAAGTATCCAAATCTCAAACCCTGTCACCCCAGTATCTGCATTTGTTCTCCCACTCTTTTTTTTTTTTTTTTGGTAAAGATAAACAAAAACAAACCTAAATGACATCAACACAACCTTAGCCTTTGGTTTTGCTGGGAAGATCAAGAAGGAAACAAATAGTAACATGGTAAAATTTGAAGTTCACCCCTTATAACAAGCTCATTTTTCCAAAAAGAGGGAGAAGTGGGGAAAAATTGTAAGCCATTACAATCTTTTCACTTAGTGGATCCTTAGTGCCTGCCTTTTCAATTTCCTTTTACACATATTTTGCTTCTATTTCCTCCACTAAGTCAAAGAAACAAATGGAGCCCTAGTTGCTAAATTTGATTGGTAAGAGAACTGCTTCTGGGTTCAATTGTTAGGAGTGTTTCAAATGCATCCAGTGAAGATTCCAGTTGCATACTTAACCTTCTAATGTCTCTCTTTGAACTCTATAATATCATCACTAGAAAATGCTACCCTACCGATCTGCATTTTGGGGAAAAAAAAAATCTAAAATATGACACAACTTCTGCAATGGTGAGTTTTAGCAGCCTTATATTTTTCCATCCCAATTTCCTTATTCATCACTCTGAATGTTTCCTTTGGAAGAAAAGATCAATTGTAATAAAAATAAGGGGAAAAATGAATTTTGACAAGACGAATAACCCCCAACAAAAAGAGTCATATCACTCCCAGAAAATGCATGTCTATGATATACGTTCAAGAAAATAACAGAGGCTTTGAATAAACTTGGAGATGGTAGTATGCATGTAATGTGGGATTGTGTAACAATTAAATTAATGAGACATTACTTATACACAATCCATATTATGTACAGTAAACATAAAAAAATACCCGTGGTTCTGTGTTTTTAATTTTTCAAATTTTTGTTTTTCCTTTCAGAAAGTCTTAAGACTTATTTTTATGTGTTTCTAATAACTTACGAACTTTGAATTTGTTTGGCAACTATTTCTTTCACTGCTGTTTGTCCTGTCAATTTTATGGACCACGATGCATTTATCCTGTATTTATCTATTATATTCCCCAAATGCCTACGGCTTTGGTGTTCTTAGGGTTGTTGCATGAAATGCTCCAAGCATCTAAATCAGGGGACTCAAAATCATCTTGGAAGGTAAGCATTTTGATATCTTTGCAATTTGTATGTTTATGTTCTGGGGGAAACCTGTAGCTTGTTTCCTATTTTGTGTTCACTTGATATAATTCGTTCTTCTTTACAATTTTTTTTTCTCAATATAAAAGGGGAATGAATAAGGTTATGAGTTGTGATGCTTCAACTGGGAAAATGTATATTTACACCTGCTATGCATATCAATTAAATCAGGTGCTGGGGAGCAGCATGGAGATGAACACTGACCTTTCCTTTTGAGCTTTAAATTTAGTTACCATATGCAAACTTCATGTAAACTAATGATTAAGTACCAATGCTGACAAAAAAGTGCTAAAAATGCAAAACAAAATTTTCCACAAACACGTATAATTCTAGAAATGCACAATCACAATAAATAAAGTTTAAAAAATTTATTAATACCAATAACTTTTTTGGTTTAACTTAATTTATGGCCATCTATGAAGCGGAATAGTCGTATAGTATGTACATAGCTTATCCCATGTAGTTGTAAAAGGTATAATTGAGTTAAGTTTATACCACTAACTTTACAACCAAACATTAACATGGAAAAGGAGGGAAACTATGTCAAGATTTATTATGTTACAATTCTTGCTTGATGGTTTTGTCAAATGAGATGCAATTCAGCTGTCCAATTTGTCGTCACCTTGAGTAATTTTCAACAGGTACTCATTATGGATAAAGTCACCGTGAAAGTCATGTCTTCCTCATGCAAAATGGCAGATATTACAGATCAAGGAGTTTCATGTAAGCGTGTCGAGATATCAAAATTATAGTGTGCATGCACTTCTATGTTTGTCCATTCTTTTTTTAAATCCATTTTTGACTCTTGATTATGCCTTGGTGTTCCAGTTTAAAAATGCTATATCTTATATATATATATATATATATATATATTACCATTTATACTTTGTAATGCATCATGCAAAAATTCGTATTACCATTCTGTAACAAGAACTTATTGCACGAGAACATAAAATTTCATTTAATAGTCAGCTTCTTTGATACGTATGCATATACCTTTTTATAGTGGATCCACAGCTTCTCTCAATCGATGACGCTGTTTTTTATTGTAACAATAAAATGGTTCACTGCCAATCATAAGTATGCTATAACTTGTGTTAGTCATTGTTCATTTGATAGGAAATCCAGCATTGTGTAGGATATCTTCCTGATTTATTTTCTTATCCTGCTTCTGGAAATATCCTTTTGCTGCAGTGGTGGAAGACCTTTTCAGGAGAAGACAACCTATGCCATCTATGGATGCCATTTACTTTGTCCAACCCTCAAAAGAGAAGTTAGCACATATTCAACTTTTATTTATTTGTATTTCAAAGAAATGCATATAATGAAGTTTCATTAATAAATGACTCCTTCTGCTCTCCATTTGTGTATTTATTTATGGTTTTATGAGTACCTTATTCAAATTTTTAGGTAATAATATTTAAAAATGTATCTCTCATCTTCTATCTCTAGTTCTATATGTAACTTTTGCAAGACAAGCATAAAAAGTGAAATCAAATTGACTGGAAAGGTAGAAGAAAGAGGAAGTGCAAAATGGGATACAATGGTTTGGCCATAAAATCTCCATCACAGGAGAGAAGACCAATTGTAATATTTTTCTCAAACTCATGGAGTACATAGAATACTGTTCTAATTGTGGACTCCTAGAGAGAGACAGGGTATATTTGTCTCTATCTTTATCATTATTAACCTAATCTCTCAGTCCTACAGATATAATAACATTTAAATATGCATATCTAAACCATATTTTATCAACTTTAATTTCGCCATCAAGACATGAATAAGTAGTATAACATTCTCTACCATGAATTTGGAAGAAGCTGGAAGCCATTTATTAAATATGGACATCTATCCAGAAATGCTACATCTAAATGACATTTTTTTTCCCATTCTAATGATTAAAATGAAACACACGTGCAGTGCCATATAGTTTTAAAATAGCTACCTTGTGTTCATTTGAATTTGTATATCAATTATCATTTCTTTGTAACTAAAAGTTCAGAAAACAACTACAAACTGGATCTTTAGTGAGGCTCCATTTGATAAAACAGAAAACTATTTATTAAAACTTTTAAGCATTTGATTTTTAGTAGTACAATGATGAAGTGCTGAATTCTTGAAATCCAAAAATTTAATGTAAACTTAATAACCTGTAGTGAAAGTAAAAATTCTCAGGATTCAGCAATAAATGAAATTTGTTTGACTTAAAATTCAAATATATTTGTAGTTAGTTTTAAATTTAAATGAATTGGGTACTGAACATTATCAAATGCACTTAATTTTGAAATGTATCAACACATTTAATTTTAAGTATTGAATTGTGGTATCAAATGGGTCCTAAGTTTCCATCATGATGGATTATTGTTGTTCAGGACCGAATCCTTTCTTTAAGCACAGCCAATTGTAAAAAGGCTTGTGTTCCACTAGCATTGATGGAAGAAAAATAATATTTGCTTTTACTCTGCAGATCATGAATTTTATTAAGCATTATCCACCCACGCTTTATTTCTTCTAAAACAAATTTGATATTTCAGTAATATATGCAACATTGTCTTTCCTATTTCCTGACAAACATGCAGAAAGCAGATGAAAAGCTTTAGCAGAATGGTGTATGATTTCTGCATGGCATGTCCTCTTTCCCTATAAGTTCCCGCTGCTGAGATCTAGTACCCTTAGTTTCCAAATTCAAATGTTGTTTGTCTTCAATTCGTTTGGTCTGTTATTCCTGGGCACTTGCTTTTTGGTAGATTACTTCAACATGTTCCAAAATGATGGCTTTTTATAGGAATCATGCCTTGAATGATGGAAGCATAGTTGGTGCTTTCTTACTATCAAAAAAATCAGTAGTCAAGGGGAGTCAAATATGTGCACCCTTTTGAGTTAACAACATCTATAATTGCATCCTTTCACTAGGGTGGGGTCTACATGTTATTAAGATTCCTAAGTTGAAGTAGTTTTAAAATCCCAATAAGGTCTAAATGTCTACAATTTTTATACATGGTAGCCATTTTCTGTTTTGTATTTAGAAGAGCCCTTCCTTGCTGAGAATGTTGAGGTGTCCAGAAGCACATTGTCCTCATAATGGGAGGTATACCAGAGAAATGGGGATTTTACAGATTGGTTAATTGTCAATTCTCAACATTGCATTAGCAACTAATCTAGAATTCTATTATTTTGTCCTTCTTCCTCAACTTCACATATGTTCTTTAACTGCAAACATTCTATTTCTTATATGATGTGTTTCCAAGTAAATCTGGAACTAAGGTTTTAAATTATATGAAGAAAGAGGGGAGCCCTTGGTATCTAGCATTTCTATTGCACTAGCATGTTGATTGTGGTCATGATATTCTGTGTAATAGATAGGCTCTTTATTTTATTTGTACATTCTAAAATTCTAGGTAAACAATTTTTTTTTTTTTTTTTAATCTATTGTCAATCAGAGCAGATACAATAGCTATGACTATGTTTCCTATATTTTTAGTACTGCAGAAGGTTGTTATGTTAGTTGTATGATTGTCAATACATATATTTTCTGTCACTTTAGAAGAGTGCATAGATTATAATTGACATGCATAATAGAACTATAAAGGTTGTTGTGCTGCTCATTTGAATTCACTTTTGAGTGTCCCTAAAAGGTTATATGATTTTCCTGTTCATTCTCATGTATTTTCTCAGTTTTGTAATCCACTATCTTCTTTTCATGTTTGGGTTTTTTGTTTTTGTTTGATTTCTGTCATCTTTCTTCTTAAATTAATAAACAGCACAATCTACTTGGACTTATTCTGGAGTGATCTCCATCTCAAGCTGAATTACATCTAAGCAGAGAAGGATCTATTTTGACATGTGTTCTATCTGTAATGCAGCATTGTCATGTTTCTGTCAGACATGTCAGGAAGGGAACCTTTATATAAGAAGTATGTAAATAGATATCTGAAAGCATGAAAATCTAATTCATGGTATCCTTTGTTGTCACCTTGTCCATTTAATTGCGCTATACTGAATCATTCTTTTGTTGTGTCTTTTACTCTGATACAGAGCCTTTGTATACTTCAGTTATCCCATCCCAAAGGAATTGCTTGCTCGCATCAAGAATGATACAAGTGTGTTGCCTCGTATAGGTGCATTGAGAGAGGTTAAGATTATTTTCAGGACTGCTTTATCTGGAAATAAATTTTCTTTTTAAACTATTGTTCTATACCTGATCTCCTCTATTATACAGATGAATTTGGAGTACTTTCCCATAGATACTCAGGTAATCATTGATTCATCTGTTATTATCTTTCTTTCTTTCTTTTTTTTTTTTTAATGATTCAGTGAAATGCACGTCCACTTTATGACTGTAAAATGTATGTTTTGTGAATAGTGAAGGCTGTGATAACTGAAGATTTTTATTTCCAACTTTGGGCACAATGTTCTTAGGACCTGTATATTTATCATGTCAACCCATCACTCATTTGCCTTCTTTAACCATCCTTTTGTTAAAAAGACTTTTTTGTTTCTCTTGATATATGCTGTTTTAGATAACTGATGGTGGTAATCAATTTTCTAATACAATTGATCAATCCAACCTGTAATATAAACTATTTGTCCATGATATGCTGCTTAATCCCTGTGTATTGACCCTTGCCTTATGTTACCTTATTTTTCCTTAACTCCTTTATTATTGTCTCAGTTCACTTTCTTGGACTATCACATGGAAGTGATATGATATCATAGTTCTCCTCTATAGGGCGTCAGTTACATATAGGTTTTGATAACATGGTTATTGCCCATAGTTGTCACTAGGACTACAATGACAGGTAAAATTACAGAATTAAATGATTTTATTGGTCAGTTTGAGTGCTCTACTTTTTGTAGTACAAGTATTGTTTCCTAAAAATCTGAAAACTCAGTGAAACAACTATAGAAAATGATAAAATCCCATCTGAAAAATTGTAATGTCATATGCGGTAAGATGAGCATGTAATGGCCAACAAGAAAATAATTGCTTCTTTTTGAATTATTTATATGTGACCTGAATAGAAACATAAACATAAAGTCCTCTAATAAATGCTGTTTGCAAATGATTTTGAGTTGAAAATTAGGGTTTAGGGAGAATAGGAAAAAAGAAAAGAGAAGAACAATAGAGAGAAGCTGTAGGTTGATTATATGCTAAACCAAAGCAAACTATATGTATGACTGAAAAACAAGAAATTACATAAATACCTTGACCTAATTCTCATATTATGAAAAGGTCTTCTCAATGCTCTAATGTCCACATAAGATATGGGCCAAACTTACTACCTAATATTATGCATTTCACTCACTTCCAATTGTAGTTTTAGTAGATGAAGTGAAAGAAGGTGAAAATATTACTTAGAACCTTTGAAACAGGCAGTAATAAGGGTTAAGAAAAATGTGACCAGAATTGAGTATATGAAATGCAGTTATCATAAAAATGAAGTATGCATGAAGGAATAATTAGTATTGAAGGCCAAGAAATACCTAATAGTGGACAATATTGACACTTTGGCTCAAGCATACATGCAGAGGTAGGTTTTGGTAAAAATGCTACTTATTGAATAAGATGGGTTCACTAAATGGAGGAATTCATCAAGAGTCCATGTGAGCAACAAATACCCATGAATACAAGATAGCTGACCATCTATGCTTTATGGTACTAAGTCTTAGCTGAGTTAGAAACCTTGGTTGAACAAACTGTGCACTCAAGATGATGATGCTAATTTAACAATTCATTTCAACTATAACATCTGATAGAATTTAATGGGGGAAAGGGGGACACCTCCTCCATCGCTGACCCAAAATAACATTCGATATTCCAAACCCCTTGTGACACTAAGTAGATATGGGTCCTTGATTGAATCGTGGAAATAGTCATTCCCAGTCATACATCAATCTAATGTGATTAGGAAGGAATTTGGTTAGTTGAATTCATTTCTGTCCATATTTCTAAGCTTTCTTTCCTTTCAATTCTTTAAAGGCCAATTTGTGCTATCATAGAAAGACAATGCCCCATTTCATGAAATTTAAAGCCATTTCATACTTCAGTTTCTAAAAGTTACAACAAGGAAATTGACATATCTTTTGTTTGGAAAGTACTTTCCGTACCAACAGAAGCTGAATACATAATTATTTATAGACAGGTTAATAACCAACCGTCAATCTCCTTTCTTGCTCTCAGTTCTAGCCCCACTTCCTTTAACTTTTGTCCTGCCTATTCTCTGATACCACAAAGTAAATTATTGTACTGTTTGTTAGCGCACATATTTTTGTTAATGAAATTGTTAGATCAATTATCACTAAATGATATAAAACAATAATCAAATAAAAGAAGTCACTTGCATAGTGCTGAATGTGTCTAGTTTTAATTATTTACAAAAGTTGTATCTCCAACTGTCAATTTTACATTCACACTTTACCTTTTGCTTTTAAAAATTTTATGTGGTTTGTTAATCATCCTTCTCTTTTTCCGGTTTCTATGAGTAACACATACTCATATCCATTGGGAAATTTTCTATAGGCATATGTCACTGACCAGGAAATGGCTTTAGAGGAACTCTTTGGGGATAATGCTGAGACTTCTAACAAATTTGAAGCTTGCTTGAATTTGATGGCAACCAGAGTAGCTACAATTTTTGCTTCATTAAAGGTAGAAACAAAAGCTCTCACTACTTATCATTAAGGTTAGCCTCTGTTGATCTCACTACTTATCATTAAGGTTATCCCCCACTGATATTTAAAAATGTATGCTATATTTAGAGCTCCTGTTTAATGAATTATCAAAAATGGAGACGTGAGGGCTTATTATTGCTCAAATTTAGCTTCTTATAATTTTGTAATTTGTTGTTAAATTATGTTGGCCACTAAGTAAAATAAAAATATGTTTCTTTTGGTATTTCCATCTATAGACCATTCTTTGGGTGACATACTAGCAGTTAGCGTAAGAGTACTACATCCAGCTCATCTTTATTACATACCACATGGGATTTATTTATGGACCTTTTCATTACTCAATTAAATAACTAGAATGCATGATGATGTTGCAGGTTTGTTATTGTCACATGACTAATTTACGAGTTGGAATAAATCCCACATAATTCATTCCAGCATAGTTACATGATTATTCACCCGCATATCATACCACTAATATTGAAAATTACAACAATGAACTTAGTCATTGGGATCAAGATTCGAAAAGTTAGATGTACCATCAAATTCCCCTTCATAGAAGAGAGAAATATAGCTAATATGAGGTCTTGGTTTGACATAGTTATCACATTTTCTGCAATTTAACTGAGATTTGATAATACAATTCTTGATGTCAAGTTTTCCCCTTTTTATTGATGTGATGATATGTCTGTAAGCCAATTCATCTGTTTCCGAATAATGAATTATTATTACCATTATCATTATAACAAATGTAAATGTCTTAGTTGATTTTAGTATTCTATGTTTTGATAAAATTCAGGAGAATACTTCTCAATTGTGGTGGTGTTAAATTTTGTCATTAAGTTAAATAGTTTGCAAAATGAATGCACTAACTCATAAGGCAGAACAACTATGGAATCTCCTTCCAGGAATCAAAGTGACAAACACTTCCGTGATTGATGGGTGACCGACCAATAAAATTGCTTCTTTTAGTGGCAATTATTTATTTTGCCAATTTTTAGAGTACACTAGCACCTAGTATATATACGACTATGGATTTCACAGATGCAATAGACAGATTGTGTTTATGATTTTATTTGTTGAAAGTCATGGCCATGTTGGCCTCTCATCAGGAGTTCCCTTTTGTGCGCTACCGTGCTGCCAAATCAGTTGATTCATCCGCAGAGAAAACATCCCGTGATTTAGTTCCCACAAAGCTTGCAGCTGCTGTTTGGAATCGTATTGCATCATATAAGTCTACTATTCCCAACTTCCCCCAGACTGAAACATGCGAGTTACTCATCCTTGACCGATCTGTTGATCAGGTTACCAAGAATTTTGCCATAATATTGCTGCATGATTTATTGGTTGGATCTTGATTTATTTGATAATTTTGCATGTTCAGATTGCTCCTGTAATTCATGAATGGACTTATGATGCCATGTGCCATGATCTACTGGATATGGATGGAAATAAATACATGCATGAGGTACATCTTCCCGATTGTAGGATTTTTCTATGGAGAAATTCTTATGAAAAGATTGTTGTTGAAGCTAACACGTGCTTAATATTAGGTTCCTAGTAAAACAGGGGTGAACCTGAGCTAAAGGAGGTCCTCCTGGAAGATCATGATCCTGTTTGGCTTGAGCTTCGCTATGCACATATAGCAGACGTAAGTCTCCTGCGCTGTTATATTGCTTTTTTTTTTTTTTTCATTACATGCCAAGTGAATATTCTTCACACTGACTGGAATATCAGGCTAGTGAACGGTTGCACGAAAGAATGACAAACTTTAAGTCAAAGAACAAAGCTGCACAATTACAACAGAGGTCAGTATTTATAAATGTAGCATATTTAAGTGCATTTATTTCCTTTTTTCCCCTGCTCTAAGCAATGGTATAAATACAATGCAGAAGCTGTATTCTTCAGATTGAACAAGGAGCACAATGTTCTGTTCACAAGATTATTTTATACATATATTAATGATGTTACTTTCTTAAGATATTAGTTTAGACCAAAGCACCTTTAGAACGGAATTGGTTCTTTTCATGAAGAACTAATTTGAGCAAATGTTTGTAAGTACAAGCTAATTGCTGTTCTTTTGTTTTATGCTTCTCATATTGAACCTTGACAATATGCAGAGATAGTAGCGAATTATCCACAAGGGACTTGCAAAAGATGGTTCAGGCTTTGCCTCAATATAATGAACAAATGGAGAAGCTTTCTCTGCATGTGGAGGTTAGTTTTATATTCACATATCGTGTAGAACTCAGGAATGGCTTACAAGTGTAAAATTTCCGTGTTTTCTGCCATCCACACAAATTTGATAAAGTTTTCCTCCATTTCATCCTAACAATGGAGTTCATAGCTTATTATAACCTCATTTTCTTCTGAGTTCTTATGAAATGCCAGAGAAGAGTTGCAACAGTATGCCAAAAACACTTTTATCCATCTATTAAGCAAGCCTATGTAATTCGTTCTTTTCATCGCATGCATTGTAGTTCAAATTCATTTGGAACCTCAATTTATTCTGAAATTAAACCCCAACAATTCTTCTGAGTTGTTGCAAAAGCCATAGAGGAGTTGTAATAGTAATGAACTGAAATTCTTCACTAGTTCTGTCGAAAAGGAGAGAAGAATTAATAAATTAATTTTGTTCACCGTGATTATTAGTTATGCTGGACAGGAATTGGTGGTCAGGTTTTGCTATCAGGCTGATTATTTACTTGTTTCTAGTACAGATAGCTGGAAAGATTAACAAAATCATCAGAGATACGGGACTTCGGGACCTTGGGCAACTCGAGCAGGATATTGTCTTTGGTGATAAAGGAACAAAAGATATAATCACTCATTTGAGGGCAAATCAGGCAGGAATTATATCTGTAAAACATGCATGCATCTTATTTGTTATTTCCAGTTACTAACTTTCTTATAATGCAGGATGAAGGTAGTGAAAATAAGTTGCGTTTACTAATGATTTATGGATCTGTTTACCCTGAGAAATTTGAGGGTGAAAAAGCTTCAAAGCTTATGCAGGTATCTGCTGGACATAATTAGTAATTTCTTTTCTGTTTTAAATTGACACCCTGCTTCTCTGCGGGCACTATATAATTTTTCTTAATGCCCTTTCACCTTGGGTGACTGAACAGAGAGATTAAATTGTTGAAATGATGATCAAGCATGAAAAAAGCAAAGCAGGGTTGTTTAGTTTTGTAATACTTCCTGCGACCGTCACACAAAAAGCCCAAATTTTTTTGAGATGTTTGGTGCAGGGCTTCTGATAGATTAGGGCTTTTTCAGGAACCATAAATTGGGGATTTTGGCTACAAAACCCATAATCTTTCAGTAAAAAAGCTCAGAAACCAAGCATCCAACAATCTCGGATATCTAAGAAAAACAAACATCCTAAATGTAGGTATTTTTTACCCAGCAAGGAAAAAAAAAAAAATCCTATCAGCCAAAAGGCCTGAAATCATGACTGGATAAGATAACAAAAAGGGATGCTATGCCTGCAATGCTCAACTATGAATTCTAAAATCCATGGTTGTCTGGAAACGAGGAGGATAATGAAAGATGAAAAAGCAACTTATTAGTTACCATTTTACTCATCCATGACATTAAGGATTATTCACTGTTGCATTTTCAATCTGTAGAATTCATAAGAATGCTTCTGTTGCTTTCTCAGGAGTTGTGGTTTTCTTTCTCGATGGCAAATTTTCAATTGATCATCATGCTTATTGCCTCATCTTTGATTCTAAAAGTTGTAGATCTCACAGCAAAAGTAGTCGCCAGAGAAGTACTTTTGCTGGCTGGGATCTGCCCTTTGTGAACTGTCTGATTAATATTCAACCATATGGAGAAAATCTATCCCATGGGTACACATTCCCCTATCCATCCTCCTTGGAAAACATACCTTAAGTGGCTAGAATACTATGAGATGAGGCCTTAACACGAAGTGAGTGCCTCTCTGGTTAGAATAACAAAATTGAAATGTGTCCCTTGGAATAAATGGAACCTAGTGAAGTATACCAAAACAATTAAGTTATGCCGAAAAAGTATTTAACATGTCTCCAAATATTACCTGCATATAATTTCTTTGTTCATTTTATTGAGGTTTTTGAAATGTTCGGAAAATGTTTTTTATTATAGGGAAACAAACTCAAATGAAATATTTTGCATCTTGGTTCTCTATGAATTGACTATATGCACACCAAAATACAACTGTCAACTGTGAGTAACAACCCAAATAGCAGTCTTTTAATCAAACACCCTATCATGCACGGCAATACGCAAAAGTGCCAAGAAAAATAAATTTATTGAGCACGATTCTAACCCAAAAGTGAAAACTAAGTCTGAAACCGACCCAAAACATGGCTAGTCATAAAATGTAATCCAAGTAAAATTTTTAGATTTTCACATCTTTTTTATTTCCTTGTTTGGCTCATCCTTGACTTGGTAGAGGTTCCAACATAAGATTGTATTTGCTTGGGCTTTCGAGCTTAGATATTTACTTTTCAACTTGTTGGATAAAAATGGGAACTTACATTGGTTTAGCATTTACAAATCCTGGGTTAGGTAGTTATTTCGACTTTCTTTCTGTAGTTGGCAAAATTATCACCTGAGGATATGAAAGCTGTGAAAAATATGAGAGTGCTTGAGGGATCCGATGGCAGGAAGACAGCAACTGGAGGTTTCTCTCTCAAATTTGATGGTCATAAGGTAAACATAACTAGAATTTGAGACGCTCGGTCAAGATCATGGCAAAATGGCTGTGACTATTTCATGAAGGAAGAAGGTTTGACAGTTGCTAAGTTCTTTTGTTTGATTATTAGAGGAAGCATGCCGCAAGAAAGGATAAAACAGGAGAGGAAGAAACATGGATGCTTTCTCGATTTTATCCCGTGATAGAGGTATGATTTATGGTTTGTCCACCATCTTGACTTTACTGTCTACATTTTTCGGCTGATGTAGGGGTATATTGATAAAGAGTGGGTTTTCTGTCAGTAATTATCCAACATTAATGATGATCAGTTATGCAGTTATGAGTCAATAGATAGGAAAGGCAAAATACGCTGTCATGCTCTGGAGGAATGACATCAGATAATGTCATCTCATCTTCCATAATGCTTTAGAGTGTTAATCGAATCTTGTCTTGATAATATATTATTGCTAGGTCCTTGATTTGATTTTGCCAATATGTCTATATTATCTTATGCTTGAATATATGACAAAACAAAAATCCAGGAAGTTTTGCAAAATATAACTGATTGTAAATCAAAATTTAAACCTCTTTCAATATTTCTCGCATTTATGCCATGGAACAACATCAAAATATGTAAATGATGAACCAAAAGATTGCTTGCAGTAATTGTATGGCACTTTAGAAACTGCATTATATCAATGCACAGAAACTCCAACTTAGTAAATTGATTCCGTAGCTATCTCTTTCTTTCTTTCTTTCTTTCTTTATTTCTTTTCTTTTTTTACTTATCTCATATAACGAGAAAAAGTTAATCACTTGAAGCTCCTGGACAAGGAACTAGCATCATAACCTTTTTTCTTTTTTAAATAATTTCTATGGTGACTAGAACAATTCCCAAATCTCTTGTCTGGCCTAGAGATATGTAAGAGCTGCAGTGTTACTCCACTTTGTGTCATGAAATATGTATAAGCATCTATTGAGTTTTTGCTTTGATAAAGCCTCAAAACCGAATCCCGTCTCCTCATCTCATCACAGATAACACTAAGTGATAACTAGTTCAGCACCTAGGCAACCTTCCTAGTAGCAATCACGTCACAGTGGACTGGGTTTATCGCCGCCGCCCCCCCCCCCCCCCCCCCCTCCACAAGAACACACCACGCAAAAGCAAAGAAAAACCAGCAGAAAAGAAAAATGGAAAAAGGAAGAAGAAAGAAAGAAAGAAAGAGAAACGAAAATCTGATGGCATTAATGACTTGGCAAGGTAAAATATGAAAAGCAGTCTTCCACTTGTCAATTTCTAACTACGGTATGCCTTGTATATTTATTTGCATACGGTATACTGGAAAGTGAGATTTAGGTCATGTTCAGTCAAGTAACTAGGCTATAGGAATCGTCACCAGGTGCAGGAGGGAAGATAACCTAACTTGGCAAAAACATGTACTCTTGTATATTCAACTCCTGAACAAAATTTTGCCCTTCCTGGGCTAAAAATGTCTAATTATCATATTTACTTTTACTGTTTTCAGGATTTTTTCTATTTATGGCCATGATGATGCCTGTGTTGTCTCAGGAGTTGATTGAACAACTTAGCAAAGGTGAATTGCCAAAGGAGGAGTATCAGTGTATGAATGAACCTGCACAAACAGCTCGCCCAGGAAGTACACGCACCCTGAATGCATCTGCAAAGACAGGTCAATCCACTGCTCCAGTTCCTGCTCCACATTCAATGAGATCTAGACGGACACCAACTTGGGCAAAGAGAGGCCATTCTGATGATGGGTATTCAAGGTAATACAATTAATTGCTTTCTTACAGCTTATTTCTTCGTCCATGATTCCCATTGCCAGCTGGAAGGTCTTAGACTTAATTTTTGGATTTAAAAACCCATTTGGTAGGTTGTTTTCGGAAACTCTTTCTGGAAGAATTTTCAGAAAACAGGTCCATTAATAGGAAATAACAAAAAGTTAATTTCAAAATTCTCATAAACCATTTTTTACTTGAAAATAAAAGATATGTAAAAACAATAGAAGGCTTCAAGATTTTCAGTGTTTTCTATTTCCTAAGATGCGGGAAATGAAAACTGAAAGCAGATATCAGAAATAGAATACAAACACAAACAAACATTGTTCTATGATCAATCGATCATTTTTTGCTCCCCTGGTGAAACTGTACACTGCTCCAACATTTTCTTGTTTATCAAGAAAAAAGAAAAAATGAAATTTAGGAATAAATAAATAATTAAAAACCTGAATGCCACCGCTACTCAAAACTGTTCCCTGCTTTTTCTTTTTTTTTTTAGTGACTCAGTTGTCGGGAATGTGTCTACTGATTTTAAGAAGATGGGGCAGCGCATTTTTGTATTCATTATTGGGGGGGCAACTCGATCTGAGGTAATGTTGAATATTTTTCTCCTTTACAAGTTCAGCTATCAGTTCGTTTTGGCACTTCACAGATTCCTTTCTTTTTTTTTTTTAATATTGTTATGGCAGTTGCGGGTTTGTCACAAGCTTACGACAAAGTTAAGGAGGGAAGTTGTCCTGGGTTCGTCTAGCATAGATGACCCACCACAATATCTTACGGTATACTCTACAATTCCATGTTCATCTTTTACCTTTCTTGTTTAAATCTTGTGGCACTTTCATAAATACATTTTCAGGATAGCAGGATATTCAACATCTTGTTATCTTTTTTCTGGTCAAAGTATCTGATGGCAGTTGATTTGGACGATCATGTAAAATTTCCCTAAAATGTATCTCTCTAAGGACCTTGTCCGTTTTAACCATTAAACTGATGTTGGAAGGGTGATATATAATCATCCAAGTGGTTATCTTCACCCGTCCAAAATTCACATTGAAAGCGCCTAGGATGGAATTTACTAGTTTTCTGCTTTCATATTCTCGGAAAATTATAATATACAAATTTTATTAAAATATTCTAGATGTTATGATTTTCCATAACTTTCTCGGCGAACAACCTTCTGCACATTTCAACATCCTTAATAGTTTATGGTCAGGGTTTTAATGCGTCTACTTTGAACTCCATATAACCAGTCCATGCATTTTTTTCTGTGAAACAAATTTAAAGCTCAATATTTGACAGAGGTTTACTCAAATTCAAAAAACATGTCTTAAAGTTGCTCATAAACTCACAAAGCATATTGTTCGGTTCTGGCAGATTCAAGAAGTTGGGTAATTTTTCCTTTCCCAAGTGACATTAACTTTTTCATTTAGACATATTTAGCATTAAAACAGAGGTATTTACTTCTCTTTTCTTTCTGTCATATTGCAGAAATTGAAATTGCTATCAGAAACGGAACTCTGAATTGATGAAATCAGAATTTAGGAGATGCTGCCATATGCACTTTTGGCTCAATACCAGCAGGTTGGCCTCTTGACAGTTCTCTCTCTCATATTCACAACTGTGAGCCATTTTATGTTCCTTGTATTGAATGTCCCTTATGTCTGTATAACTGTGAATAGATATATGCTAATTGTTTTTCTTTCTTTCTTTCTTACTTTCGTTTTTTTTTTTTTTTTTTTGGTTGACAACCATTGCATATCTATCTAACCTAGAGGGAGGAAGATGTTTTTCCAAGGGTTGGAACCCTATTCAAGAACTAGGTATTGAAGAGTTCTAACTAGGTTGCCAATTGCTATATGCTAATTGCGTTTATTTCATTTGTCTGCTTGAAGCTACAAATGTGGCCTAACCCAATCCATTGTTATTTAAAAAGTAGATACATTAAGAAGGCTGCGTTTGGCGCTACAATATGTAGATCAAAGGATGGTTTTCAATGTTTTTGCTGGATCCAGATGACTGCAGAGAAATCAACCCCGATGGTGAAAGAAAAGGAGAAACTGGCCGCAAACAGTAATTGGTTTCATAGTCCATTTGCTTCTCTTTAACGCACGCTTAAACATGTGGAATTGCTCGGTCTTCCATATATCAAAAGCCCTTTAGTAGCCACTATGGAGAGATTTCCAACTTTGCCTTGCAGTCCAACAATTTATGCTGATTCTCTTGCGTAACATCAGAAAAGACACAGATTAGCATTTTAGGCAGAAGATTGGTGTTTTGAAGTATTAAAACCTCTATGATTTGACTATTATCCATTGTAATGACAAGAATTTCTGAACTTGTAAGAAGAAATCATACTGTGAAAAAATCTTTGAATCATTTTTTGTTAATGTTATGACTGCTATGAAATGTTTTTAGTCTTAACAAGCTTCTGATCCTAAATATTTGCAGCATAGCAAATTGTCGTGGAATTGGTAATTTCTGGTCTTTGGAAATCTGACTTTTCTTGGGTAACATACCTGGATGCTTAATGATGATTTTAAGACAAATCTTGAGTGGATTAACTCCACGGCCAGAGTTTGGTCTCTGGCCCGTCTGGTCTGACTAGTCTGTACAGTACAGGCATCGTGATTTCTCCCCCAAGTGAGAGACCAAACTATCGGGGGCTCACTGAAAGAGAATTAAATCTGAGAGATTTGATTGAAATCTGTTGAGAGCGTAATTAAGAGGTTTCTGAGTTTTCTGGGGTTAAACTGCGATTATTAAAGCTCAAGGACCTTCCTGTAAGGCAGAAATTTTGGGAGGTTTAGTTTGTAATTAGGAGAAATGCAAATCCGGCTTTTCACTATTCATCGTCCCAAAATGAAAATCCTACTTGCAGCTTTGTTCCGTCGATGTTAGTTTCAGCCGACAAATTGAAATCGACGGAGAGCTGCAGGGAGATCAACACAGAAACAGCGAGATAGAAACTCCGATTGGCCATTTACAGTAGAGAGAGAAGTAAAAACGGAGAGAAAGAGAGATGCAGATAGAGAGAGGAAAGTGGAACGATCTGTTTGGTTCATTCCTCCGAACGTCGACAGATATACAAGAGATTGTCATCGATCTCAGTAGTTCGGAGCTGCCGTCCGGTCATCCAACTCGATCAAAAGATATCAAGGAATAGAACGATACCAAGTATCAAGTGTTTACATCGAGACAGCCATCACAAAATTGCTAATTTCAAACGAGAACAGTACCTAATTGCTAAAACAAGTATTCTAAGACGCTGTGTCTAGGCCTGGGGAAGAGAGCAATTTGACAAATAGCATATTAGAGGCCCTAAGCAGTTTAGAGAGAAACCTGAGCAATAAAAAACCTTATCTTTGGTCGCCGACCTCATTGTCGCGATTCTCTACTCCTCGAACAGCGGTAACAGGTCGAACTCCCCCGAAGGATAGATTGTGTAAAACGTGTTCAGATTCCTCGTCTCCTTCTCCGCTTTTTCTTCAAATTCGAAACTCAATCTCTCATTTTCCTCCTTCGCCCTCGTAGATCAGGGAATCGGCTTCTGAAACCACGACGAGTTCATGGTTTTCCATACTGTAATTCGGATGCTGGGGTTTGGATATAGAATTCGGAAACGAATCGGCAATAGTCGGAGAGGAACAACGGTCGGGACTTGAAATCTGTGGAATTGATTTTAAATGTAAAAGCCGATACGGTGCTTAAAGCAGATTTGGCAAGGACTCGCGTGAGGTTTGAAGGGTCCATTTAACCGTAGCAGCCAGTAAATGAGTCACAGGCAGCATTTTAATAGGTGAATAAATGAGTGGGACGTGTGTAGATTTTTTATTTTTATTTTATAATTAAATAAATAAATAAATTATAAATATAATATAAAAAATTAAGTTATTTTTATTTTATTTTTTAATTTAAAAAATAAAAAATGAGATAAATTTATTCTAAACATTTACACGCAAATTATTTATTTATTAGATAATAAAACCTTATTTTATTAGAATAATAGGTATAGTACTTAGTAAATATTTATTTTTACAGTACTACGTATCAATTATTTAATAATATTATTTTACTAAAACAGTAAATATCAATCTCATCTTTCAACTGGGCACGTGAAAACTGGGTGGATTTGATATACTGAAATAGTATCGGTTGAATGATTGAAACCTGCAATACATTAAAACGTGGCACTGACATTCCTGCAACGAAGGCTGCGACAGGGAGCTGCAACAGACGAGCCGAACTCGGCATTCCGGTCGTATCTCCCCTGTAAAGAAGTGTCTGCGGTCCTGATACAGCAACCCACAGCTCTGGAACTTGAATTAATGAATTAATTAATTATCAGTTCTCGCCGCGATAGACTTGCTTATTATTGATCCTATCGTTTCAACAAAATAGCATTAAGACTTCTCATGAACCATGATAAATAGAGGAAACCAAACAAAGCAAAACACGTGGGAGCAAGTTATAAGTTGTTTGGTCCAGAGAAAAAAAAGAAATAAATTTTGATGTTGCTTTTTAGGATGTTTTAAAATCTGGCGAAGTCAGCTTGTGTAACTTTTTATTTAGCAGCTTCTTTGTTCTAAAAAATGGGTACCCATATAAAGCTAAAAGCTAATTCCATAGAACTTTTAAAGAAAGCTTACTAAAAGTTCTGACTTTTCACGCATTAAACTTCCCTTAACTATTTAATAAAACCTATGAAAGTTAGGTCACAGATACATATTAAAGTACAACAAGTTTCCTCCTCCCAATGCTGATCCATCCATCTCATACACAAACCACATAAGATACAAACAAAAGGCTGATAAACAGAGTGTGCACAAGTCATCAACATTTTGCATAAACAACAATCGGAATTCACTTTGGTTCCAATTTGCTTTGGTTTCAAAACATACAGATTACAGAACTTGGTTTCTTTCTTCCCAGAAAGTAATATTTCACCGTCACGGACTTCAACGTCCTCGTGGGTCGAACTCACAACAAACAATCAAGTATGATTACCATACGGCATCAGGTTGTGTTTCAGGCGAAGAAGTTTGGAATTCTGATAAAATCTTGCATGATTCATAAATCATGCTTAAAGTAGGGAATTTGGACTGCAAGAAGAGTCAATCAAATGATTAATTAAGGGGAGAGATACTCGTAGGATACTAAAAATACAAGGCGGCAATAACCGATATGTAAGTTCATTCCAACATTCGTAACTTGCAATTTATGAGGAGGCTACTTCTGAAAACATAACCCTGAAGATCCAAGAAACATGAGCCAAGTAATGCGAAAAAGTATTCTCTTGGCTTTTGCAATATGTAACAATATTAGCCAGTCAATTACGGCAAGGTGAAAAAAGTTCAGAGTGGGGCAGTATCCGTATTGGGAAGGTGTGTGGAGAATAAGGGAGTTAGAATATACCATGTCAATATTGAACCTCTTGGCAGCAACAGCAATTTGCGGGGCCAGAAACACGTCAGCCTGCAAATGATATCATCCAGTGAGATAGAGTTTAATAACATCTAAGTTAATTATATGTCAAACCCATTATAATTAGTTTTATATCACGTTTAAAAGGACCACCAAATCTAGTAAATTTTTAAACGGAATTCACTGGTCCAAGATTAAGCCCAAGTTGCCTCATAGTGACCCAAGTCATATGCCCAACATAACTGATAACTTGCCATACAACACATAATCTCACACCTAGAATTCGTTTTGTATATGCAGACAATATAGTTTTTACCAGTATATTACCCCTGAAGAGTCACCAGGCATGGATTATTCTGTTTATCACTCCAGTGTAACAAAGCCTCAGTGAATTGTTTGCTAAACCTTTTATGAATGGGAAAGAAAACATAAACAATTGAAAAGATACAAAAGTAAGACAATTAAATGTAAGTAAGCAGAGATGTACCAAATAAATTTGCTCTCCTGTAGCATATTTGCCAGCAT